GGGTAAACGGACGCGCGCGCGCGCGCGCGCGCGGTGAAACCACGTGTCCGCCGCGATCGCTCGTTTCGATTATCCGCGAAAGCGAAAGGGGCAGTTACATTAAATATCTTTAATTAAGCAACAAACGGGGCCGGAATCGGCCCTCGTGAGGCGAGGCTGCGCGCAGATGTTTGCCATGCAGTCTGCAAAGGACTTAAACCGTGATAAAAGACTGCGGATCACAATAACGTTAATGGGAGCGACAAAAGTCGTCGGCCCTGTGTTGGTCGTAAAAAAAGACGCTCACTCAATTAGGGTGAGAATAAGGGGGATACAAAATATAGACCTATTCACTTGGCGCGTATTGATAATATTGCGTAATTAGTATTTATAGCGCGCAGCTTGCAGAGTTGAAAATACTGCTGCAACAATACGGCATCGCATATGAAAGTAATGGTGTAATAAATAGCATTACCGGTGTAATAAAGATGTCCCGCGTAATAAACCGTATGACGAATAATAAGTAACGAAGTATATTAAAAATAATAATAAATTATATAGAACTCGCATAATATAAGTAATATTAACACATTGAATGCCGAGTGAGTTTTATATGTCTGCCGATACATCGCAATATACACATGTATTGTTAAATTATTACAAAAATCAAATTCTTCAAATGCTCACACATTTATTATTTTTCATCCAAAATTTTACACTTTTATGGACTAGAATCATTGAAATTAATTTGTACAACGCTGGTCGCTCAAAAGTGTCGGTCATCGGTGATCCTCACGGCATTCAATGCGTTGAAAATCGAACAACAAATAACATTACAAGTTAGTTCACAAATGACCTTTTTTTGATAAACAGTTGATTCCATGCAAATAAGTCCCCGTTCGCTCTGTTTCTATCTTATGTTTTTCCCGAATTAGAAGAAATATGACAAATTATTAATAGTTCGCGCATAATTGATATTAATATAATTTTCCGCAACAAAATGCACATTACGCGACGGCAGCAACACGTTTGAGCGACACAGATTGCAAGCGTCCAGGCATCAAGGATCACGAGGCAGTAATGAAGATTGAAGACTTAACGCTAAATTCAAATAAGGTTATTATCCTTATCGCGGACGATGCAGAAATTTGCATGATCGATGACACCATTCTTCGCGGCCGGCCGCAAGAAATTGCGATTCGTGCTGCCCGCCCGGCCGTTCCTCCCCTACCCCGTCCCCGTCGCCCCCTCGACGTTGAAGTCGCTAAATTTAAATAACGTTCGTGGCTGGCGATGCGGAATTTTCGCGCATGATCGATGACACGGAGCCTCGACGTCGGAGTCGGAAGGCGGAGATTGCCGCGCGCGATGCATACGAGATGCAGATCGGGGACAATTTTCGCGGTAATCGATCGGCTCGCCCACGCCCCGATCGACCAGCTCGCTAAAAACCGATCGTCGACGTGCGCTCGAGAAACCCGCGAGCCGCTAACTGACGCACGCGTACTCCGTAATGGTTAATTATGGAAATCTCTTTGTTCCTTATTAGGGCGACTTCCTGGACTCGAGAAGCGCGACCCCGAATTGATTCCTACGCAGCGCTAGCAGCGCGCACGCACCGAAAGGAAACGCGTACCGGGCCTTGATTAACGCTGATTTTCCGGATTCCGGAGTTACTCGCCGTTTCAATTATCCGGAAGCCCCACCGGCGAAATCTCGTAAGCGTGTAATGCAAATGCGCCAACACAATGAGACATTAGATGCGCGTAATGAGAATTCGCTGTAAATTTCCGTTGATGATGCAAATTAATGGCGAGCACATACATTTTTTTATTAAAGAGAATGGATAAATAATTGACAAATAACTACGTATAATTTTATAGGTTGATTTTAATCAATGTAACAATATTCCTATTATAATCTCTGCAAGAAAAGGCTTAGCAAGTGGAGTAAGAACGGCCACAAAAGTGGGATGACAAGACACAAAAAAATTGAGAAATTAGAACGACGTCGCTTTTTTTTTGGTCGCAGCAATCTCTCGAGCCGAAATTTCGAAAGAGGAAACGTGACACGGAGAAAACCGACCTGCAACCTCGCGCCGTCACGGAGTCGCTTTTGAATCGCATTATTCGTCGTACATCGAGTAGCTCATGATGAAGCCCGGTCACGTTCGACTCGTAACTCGGTTTAACGAAACGTAACACACAAACTGAATCCTCGAGCGAGCCGAGTGCACGAGTCGTCTGCCTTTGTTCCCGCCACGTCCTTTTACAAACGCAAGACGCTTCTGCTCGATAAATTTTCTTCCCAAATTTCGATAAATACGCGCGTCAAATTTAAATGCGAGGTGAAAGAGCTGCAATCGATGTTGATCTTCAACAATGTGTTTCTCTGAACATCACGAAAAATATATTGCACTGCGACAATCGTGCGTCACGCAGCTCGTCCAATTCTATTTAGCTTGCACGTGTGCGATTCAGGCATGTAGGAATTTTAAAGCACAAAATGCATTAAAGTCCCCCTTTCGACGAACGCGCTCCCCAGCAACGGCAGACCCGATGCAACGTGGCGGCAGCTGTCTATGAAACTATACGCACACCGATGCGTATTTTTCGAGGGGACACACGACGGTTCCAACGTTCATTACGCGCCTGATGGCAGCCCTGTTTAATTCAACGCATTTAATAAACGATTCGACGGCGTGCACTCGTCACGTAATCGAGGTAATTAATCGTCGCGTGAGCCCATGTACAGCTTTTTTCTCCCCCATATAACGAGACGGTCCGACGATGTCTCATTTTTTTTTTATCGCAAGAGCGGAGCGCATCTCATTCAAAACTTATTTCATCCTTAATTAACAACGCAAAATATAGAGTCCAGATTCTTCGCATATTTTAATCCTTCCGCTGTTGCCAAAAATTCCTGGCAAATCTTCCCTTCTTGTAAAGAATGGAAAGAATACATTGGCATAGTTATACTGTCTATTTAAAAAATTATATTTGTAATGAAAATGTCAAGTTTTTACAGCATGCCAGGAAATAAAGTAGCGTATACATGTCGATTTATCGGACACATATATGGATCAACAGCGAAACAATTTAAATTCGAAAACTACCGCCGCTGTTTTCGTACTCTCTTTCATCGACTTGAGGTCGTCGTTGCTTCGACAATAAGGCCGACTTCAATAGCTTCCGAAACGCGCAAGAAATGTCAGTCGTAATAAAATATACAATTCAAATCCCTTCGCGCTTGATTACTTTCAAACGAAATGCTCGAGCGAAAATAAAGCGTGACTGGATCAAATCGATCACGCTTTTTTTCACGATTGACATACTTCCTGCAACACGTCGTCTACTCTACCGTTCTTGCGCAATCTTGCACGAGTCTGTAGAAAACGGCGATGCGCGCGGCAGGCTTGACGTGAATATCGATCGTGCGCACCCCTTTGCGAATTGTAACAGGTGTTCCCGCGACTCACGCAGCGGACACTTCTGTCGGATGTTGGCACTTAAGTGCCGCGACCCGCGCAAAAACGATTTGCAAGAAGGACGCGCGTCATTAAATCGAAGCCAGCAGCTATTCATCTTATCCGTACAAAAAGCGTCGACCCGCGACAATTCTCACGATCGTCCGGCGCGAGATTTAACTGTGCCGTCGTTCCCCCC